CACAAGTGATATAAGTTGACCTCCATAATGTCATTAGTATAAAATGGAAATTTGTACACATACATTTTAAAAGAAACATACTTACACAACTCAGAGTTATCACTCACAAACATTTATTTTTAATGATACAACTTACATGTTGTTTTAAATTACTTCGAAGTTTATTTGTTCTCATGCTGACCAAAGTGTATAACATGTCACATAAACTCCCAACAACACCATGCAGTATTCTTTGAACAAAACAAGCTTTAAATAACATAATGACAGATATAATGAAATTTGGGGGGTGGGGGTGCACATGCTGTGTTTTAGTTGAAATGCATGTTATAACTACAGTTTTAACACTCTAAAATCAGACTTCCCTCTGAGTTTGTTATAACCAAAGTGTACAGTGCGTCTAAATTACAACCAAGATGTCGCATGGCGGTGGGGTAGCCCAGTGGTTAATGCGTTTGCTTATCATGCCAAAGGTCCAGGTTTGATTCCCCACATGGGTACAATGTGTGAAGCCCATTTCTGGTGTCCCCCACCGTGATATTGCTGGAATATTGCTACAAGTAAAGTAAACTTAACTCACTCCCTTGCATGTTTTTAATGTATTATCCAATGTCGGAAGTTTTTAGATAAGCCATTGATAGCAATCAGTCAGTAAATAATTTTCCCTGAAGAATTTGAAGATAGTTGAAAAAGATATATTGGGTAGTTGTTGGTATACTATTCTTATGCTATTGTTTTTCTTCAATATTAGGCCAGACCAACTTTATTTCTTGTTTTACGGATTATTTGACCTCAGAAAACCTAAAGGCAGGAGGGGAAAAAATAAAAATAAAATCACCAGTCAAAGTGATATTTCTTGTAAATACTCAAAGTAATTTACTTTGGGCAATTTATAAAGTGTATATGGGGCAAAAAACAATCTATAAAATACCATTTTTGTAAGTTAACATTTTTGGCCAATAAAAACATTAGGATTTTATTTTTGAGCAGGGAAAATTCATTATTATTTTTTTTCTTATTCTTTAAAAAATAAGACAGGCAGATCTGTAAAACAAGAAATAAAATTAGTCTGGCCTTATGTTGATTTGTAAGTAAGTAAGTCAGAATTACTTGTATCAGGGCATTTTACGTAAATACACATCTCATACAGATTTGAGTAATAATAATAATTTTCCATAGTCCATCCAGAGCATGCTCAACGCGCTACATATAGAAAGAGTCACTAGAGTTCCTGAGGAAGATCAGCACCAACTAACCCATTTTCCAAGGTTGTTTGGTCTTCACCTCGTTTCTGATTTATCATGCAAGTGGTTCAGTGAAGTCATGTCAGTTTCATACCACCTGCCAGAAAGACCCATCAAACATGCCCCCCTCGCTATAAGGCCAATACCAATCCAAGACTCTAATTAGTATCTGACATATCAACACTCAAGCTCCACCCAAAACACACCTAATACCATGTATTGTTGATAGTGGTATGGATCGAGGTCACAGACACATCAATCCTGTTTGCCTTATAATGAGGAAGTTGGGTAAACGTGTTTGGATGTAGATGTGAACTCATTAATTTGAGTATTTTATCTACTACTGTCTGTTTTGCTGCTGTCAAGGACAATCTAGGAGTTTATGTCTTGGTTTCAAGACAAACAAAATCTAAAGAAGTTTGTTACTTGGGGCTGGCTTGACACTGACAGAAGACATAAATATTCTCATTCTTTGTATCATAAGTAACAGAACTTCATCTGCCTTCATGAAAGAAAAGCTCAGAACTTCAGTTTCCTTGAAACTGTAAAAATAATGGGCAATCTGATTTGACTAAAATGTTCTCAAGTGGGATTGAAAACTGAGAATTCTGTGGACAATTCACTGTGTATAAATAATTTTCTTGACAAGTATCTTTTCTTAGTTAATCCTACTCAAATTTCAAAGAAAATGCCAACTGGCAAAATGGATACCATATCAATCAAATATTCACTTATGAATCACATCATAGATTCTTTTTACCATATTCTGTTAACCCTGGCATGTTCAGTCATCAATATATGCAAATAACGTCATCCACTGTTGGACAATGTCATCACATTTCAGTGTCAAGGTACCAGTTATGAATTCAACCAAACCCACAGACCCAAAATACACACATTTTTTTAAACTCATGGAGTGAGTGAATTTAGTTTTAAGCCGCTTTTAGCAATATTCCAGCAATGTCGCGGGACATCAGGAATGGGCTTCGCACATTGTACCCAGAGGGGAATCGAACCTGGGTCTTTGGCATGATAAGCGAACACTTAACCACTAGGCTACTCCACCGCCTTAAACTTATAAGAAGAGGCAAAGGAAGCCTTTTCATCTAAGGTGCTTCAATTCCCTGTGCAGAGTTACGTCCCTTTGGCACATCAGGAACCAATGATTGTGGGTTTGAATCTATGTTTGCTCCAGTTATGTTTCTCAGCTTATAAGGAAGTGTTAAATGTTGAAGTGTATCAGTTTGGCTGTTAGCCCAACGTGCATACTGAGACAACTGAAATACTGTTAAAATTGGCTTGAAACCAGTATCACCCATACACTCATTCTTACTTTAGTGGGACAGTGGGGTAGCCTAGTGGATAAAGTGTTTGCTTGTCACCCTGAAGACCTAGGTTCGATTCCCGACATGGGTACAATGTGTGAAGCCCATTTCTGGTGTCCCCCGCCGTGATATTGCTGGAATATTGCTGAAAGCGTATAAAACCATACTCACTTTAGGTCTGAACCTTTCACAACAGACAATTCCATTATTCAGCATCTGACACTGAAAGTGATTAGAAGGAATGGCTTAGTGTTGTAAACTCCTCGAATGAGCTGGGTTTGATGGTGCCGCGAACAATATGCTATACATATCACTGTATCTTGGCTAATCCCTGAACAACATTATTTTGCCATCCGCCCAGCCCTTTCTGCAATCTAAATCCCTAAATGAATCAAGTCTAGATTTCCTCAGGTTCAGGTTCTGAATCTCCCATCTCACTGGGGCTCCTTTTCAATTTAAATGGGTTTATTTGTGACTATCAAATATATATATATTCAGAGACTGAGAGAAAGTCTACTTAATATCCTCAAACTCTCTCAGATACTGACTCAACAATTTAATACCTAGTCTCACAGTCCCTGAACCACATTATTTTCCCTACTGCCTAGTCCTACCTGCAACGCTAGACCCCTTGACCCTTAGAAAGTCTAGATTTCCTTAGGTTCTAAATCTCCCTTCTGAATTGTACTCTTTTTCAATTTAAAAGGGCTTGTTTGTTTCTATCAAAAATTTATAATCAGAGAATAAATGTTCACCTACATCTTGGTGTACCGATGCCAAAAGTCTGAGTTGATGCAGCTCATACATTTCTAACTGTAGTCAAACGCAATAGCACAGGAATCGCTTTGGACAACAGTCACAGTCACAATCGTGGACAAGGAAATAATCACTTCCAACTGGAATCAAACCCATGATCGTAGGTGGGGCCGTCCAAGGGATGCAACTCTGTACAGCAAAATTCCGCTCTTCAGACAAACAAATCATGAGTTCTTTCTTATGTAAGTCTTTCACAAACATGATACACTATTTTAGCCTCCAGGTGTATCATCCGTCTTGTTGTCCCTTTCTCATGCATGAAACAAAGGTTACAGAGACTGGCCTCATTTTACGCCATCCACAGGTGACTTTTGAGTCTGTCAGATCACGACCTATACTTGTGTTACAAGGACAGAATTCCCCCACTGACAACTGATGATGATAAAAAGACCAACAGGCGGTGGTGGTTGGTTTGTTGATTGGTTGTTGTTTAACGCCACACTCAGCAATATTCCAGCTATATGGCGGCAGTCTGTAAATAGCCCAGTCTGGACAAGACAATCCAGTGATCAACAGCATGAGCATTGATCTACGCAACTGGGATGTGATGACAGGTGTCAACCAAGTCAGTGAGTCTGACCACCCGACTCTGTTACCGCCTCTTACCACAAGCATGGGTTACTGAAGATCAATTCTAACCTGGATCTTCACAGGTCTAAAAGACCAATATAAGTTGTATGAGTATCACAGTGGGAACTTAATTAAATAGTCTTCAAAGCATGTCAGCTGGAAGGGTTGAGTGTGTGTTTTGCATCTGAAGTTCATCGAGTAACACATTCTTTTCCAGACTATCACCAACAGGTAGCACTATAAACCAGAATCAGACACAAATTAGTGAGTGAGTGAGCATGGTTTTATGCCACTTTTGACAATATTCCAGCAATATCAAAGCAGGAAAACCAACAAATGGGTTTCAGGCATCGTACCCATGTCAGAAATTGATCCAGGGTCTTAACCACTACCCCAATGTCCCTTAAAAGGAAAGTGAGTGAGTGAGTGAATTTTACGCCGCTGTTATCAATATTCCAGCAATATCATGGCTGGGGACACTGGAAATGGGCTTCACACATTGTATCCATGTGGGGAATCAAACCCGGGTATTCGGCGTGACAAGCAAACGCTTTAACCACTAGGCTACCCCACCGCCCCCTAAATATACAAGATACAGCTGAATATATTAAGAAAAAGTGAAGTTACAGATTGCATACAGCAATAGTTAGTGATACAAACGCAATTCTATTACTCAAGAAAAAAACACCCATATTGCCCCCTGTAGATTTCAATTACATTAGTGAAAGGAAGCCAATGCTGAACTTAAGCCTCTCCAACAACAAGAGTCCATTGAACATAGTGATCTTAAGACTCAGAGAACATAACTCCCATACTTTAACATTGTCAATTTGGTCATAGAGCTAAGATTGTTGGAACAGGATTAAGTACAGTTAAAAAAAAATCATCACACACCCTGTAACAGGAGTCTCCAATATATCAAAGAATCTCCTCAGTAAAGGATACTCCAGTTCCTTCTGATATATATTATCAGAAAAACAAACACAAATCTGAAAAAAATAATTCCCAGAGACTAAATGCCTTCAATTTACACAGAAATCATTCTTACCTGAGTCTCTAGCTTTTTCCTTGGTGACCTTGGCCTTGAATCTGAATTTGACCTTGTCCGAAATTTATTCATAAACTGTTCAACAGGGGTAGAAGGCCCTGACTTATGCCTGGCTCTGTCCCCTTTAGCATCCAGCATTTGTCCCTCCAAGATCTGCCCCATGGGGGGATATAGGGTCTGCAGGGCCCCGTGGGGCTAACATTGTCGGGGTAACTCCGTGTACATGAAGCTGCGACTCGTCCATTGAACGTTCCATTGCTACTGCATGCTTTTTCCCAGGCTTTTTCATACCAGACACATCCGATTTGGAACGTGGACGAAAATTATCAAAAAAGTTTTTCACTTTTGAAGATGTTGTGGGAGAACCACTTTTGCTGTCTTCCCCCGATTTGTTTCGTTGCCTAGTTTTCCCGCTGAGCAGGCTTTTGAGACCTGTGGATCCCGCTCGGGGACGGAAGTCTTGGTCTACATCCATCATACTCCCATCTGCCACATCGGAGTCTAGGAGAGGCATCGCAAAGGCACTTAGGTCCTGAAAAACAAAAATATATTGTTATCTGGAATCTGTAATGCATGGAGGCAGGGTTCTTCCATGTCCACAAATCATACCCAAGCTGCAACAGAATGGATGGACCAGACAACAAGAACTGACGATATGACCACATCGGCACAATTTGCCCAGGCAAGATTAAAATGATAACCAATAAATACTGACTCTGGAAGAAGTACATTGATAAACTACATCCACAGAGCCAGTTGGACTCTCAACCACGTTTAAATGTTCTCAGACACATTAGGAGTAAAATGCAATATGTAAATCAAAATCAATAAAGGTGCTGTCAAAGAAACTCCAGACTTCTGAATTCCTCTCATCGTTGATCCCAAGATGTGCTCATGAATATTTTGCATGTCCATTTTATATTTTTCTATAGAACACAAGTCCACATTACACCTGTTTGTATAACACATATATATCACCAGTGTTGGGGGTGGGTTAAATTGGACTTGTGTTTGAGTTACCAAAGTCCAGTGGACAGGTAAGTTGTTTCAATATTTTAATCAATGACTGCTATGAATACTGAGTTATGAACCTACTTGTCTAAACTTGTTTCTGTCATCACTTAAAGCATATTGTAGTCTTATAAATAGTTGTTTTCAGCTGATCTTATAGAAATTACAACATTGAATACATGTTTAATTGTGATCACAGTACATGACAAGCCTTAAGCTTGAATTATGACTATCACTGCATTATTTTGTGGAACACGACCCCAGTGTTTATGATTGTCATTGGCCAACAAAGGTGGAGGTCACTGTACCCCAAATGTGGAGTCACTGTACCTAAGTAGGGAGGTCACTGTACCCTAATGATGGAGATCACTGTACCCTAATGATAGAGGTCACTGCACCCAATGATGGAGGTCACTGTACCCTAATGATGGAGGTCACTGTACCCTAATGATAGAGGTCACTGTACCCTAATGATGGAGGTCACTGTACCCTAATGATGGAGATCACTGTACCCTAATGATAGAGGTCACTGTACCCTACTGATGGAGGTCACTGTACCCTAATGATGGAGGTCACTGTACCCTAATGATGGAGGTCACTGTACCCTAATGATGGAGGTCTCTGTACCCTAATGATAGAGGTCACTGTATCCCAATGATGGAGATCACTGCACCCAGTTATGGAGGTCACTTTAATAATGGAGGTATGGAAGTCACTGTACTAAGTATGTAGGTCACTTTACTAAGTATGGAGGTCACTGTACCCTAAGTATGGAGGTCACTTTACTAAGTATGGAGGTCACTGTACCCTAAGTATGGATGTATGGAGGTCACTGTACTAAGTATGGAGGTCACTGTACCCTAAGTATGTAGGTCACTTCACCCAATGATGGAGGTCACTGCACCCAATGATAGAGGTCACTGTACCCTAAGCATGCAGATCACTGCACCCTAATGATGGAGGTCACTATACCCAATGATGGAGGTTACTGCACCCAGTTATGGAGGTCACTCTAATAATGCTCACGCTTTCAGTTACAGGACTGACTGACAAGAAACCAGAGTCCCATTTTGCCCAAGAACATCAGTGGAACCAGACCAATCAAGATTTTCAACAAACCACAAAACTTCAAGTCTATAATGCAGAAGAACTTGCATCCAATCAGCAAACATACATTCTTCCATACTAGATCAAATGTCAAGACAAATACACTAGTAAAATGATTGTGACGCTTGTAAACTGAACTTTATAACTGAATTCCCAACCCAAACAACCCAGCTGACCCGTTAGTCGGTTGCCATGCCTGTGTTGCACCAAACACACCTTCTCTTCCCGAGACAACGTGATAATCACGAGTGCAGATTTTGACACAGATACTCACCTCAGTTTTAAACTTAAACAAAGCCAAAGGTCAAAGAAAGATCTTTACAATGTCAAAACGATGTCCCCTGAATAAGTAAATCAATTGCTCACAGATGGCTTGTTCAGGAAAATGTTTAGGAGAGCAAAACTTGTACATCAAGATATATAGATCTCAGAAATCATTCTTCATGTTCCTGGATGAAAACAAAGTACTTACTGTGAACATTAGACAAACCTTTTGCCTAGACTCAAGTGTACATAACACTCAACTTCAGCTCAAACGCATACTTCAAAAAAAAAAAATCAATCATATTCTCAACAGCATATGGCTAAGTAAATATTTCAAGCAGCCGTATTATATAGGTTAGTTTTCACAATCGTACACAAAATCAAACAATGTTCAAGTCAAAACACAAAATAAGGCACAAAAAAAAAATCAAATAAAAATCAATATATTCTTTGGGAACAGTTAAAAAATGTCAGATAAGAAATTTCAATGACTGTTTATAGATAACACTCATCCAGGTGAGCCCCACCCCAAAAATACAGACCACTCCCATAATGAGTGTTCAGAGTTACATCCCTTAGCACCAAAGGATCCGGTGATCATAGCTTTGAATCCTACATTTCATAAGATAATGACACATGGTTTGTCAGCATCAGAACCATGGATGGCTTTGAGTAAATCATCACTTTGGGGTTTTCTCCCAACGTAAATCTGACACTGTTTTGACATAACTTAACAAAAATGTAGAAAAGGTCATAACCTTGATTCACGTAGCTACAAGTGTGAGATCTGTACTCTACAGGTACACAGACACCAGGAAATGCACTCAACACAATGGTGTGATGATAACACAATGAGTCTACTCAGACCCCAGCTTCAACAACATCGTCATGAACAACACTAGATGAACGTCTGCTTCAATGGAAGGCCACGAGTACAGGTGGGGCTACGATGGTGATATTTCTCTTCAAACACCATCACACAAAGACCGGTGGTATTTTCTTGAAACACCTTCACACACTGACCAATGGTATTTATTTAAAACACTCCAGCAGTAACGTCTTTAAAAAGTGAAAAAGAAAAAGAAATGTTACTTCAAATAAGAAACCTCGACAAAGTTTACATTCGAGTTCAGTGTACTGTTTCATCCCAGAAAGTATTGTCTGTGAAACTGTTAACTTAAAGCCACACTCACTCCATATAACACAGCTATATAACATCTGTATGCTGACAACCTGTATAGTAATTGTCTCAACCAGACACTCTGACCGCCTCCATGGTGTAGTAGTTAGAGCATCTGCCCGGAGAGCAGAAGGTTGTGGGTTTGTTCCCTGTCCGCGTCATACCAAAAGACGCTAAAATTTGGTACTTGTTGGTCCCTGCCTGGCGTTCAGCATTAATGGATATAACAAGGACTGGTTGGCTCGGAGTCAGTATAATGTGTCTGAGTGGGGTATTCATGCTTAACAGCGGCACGGTATCTCAGTGAGCTAGCACTATAAAGCCAGCTTAGTCTGGGCTAGTACCGGTACAAGCAGCCACACATATACACACATGCACGTCGTCATATGAGCGAAATATTCTTAAGTACGACATTAAACCCCATTTAACCTCAGCTCACCTCACCAGACACTCCAGTGATCGACATAATGAGCACCGATCTGCACTGATGACATGCAACGGACCTGATATATTGAGTCACCTCTTATGACAACATAAGCTGCTGGTGAACATTTATAATTTACGATTAATAGTAAACTACAGTCTCTGTTTGAAATTTGTGAGTGAATTGTGTATTTACTGTTCAGGATTTCGGTTCAGGATACCAGCTTAAGTGTGGCACAAAAGTTCAGAATGATAAACATTCGAAATATCCATTTAAAAAAATGAGCATGGCAAATATGAAAGAAAGAAGTGACATTTCTTAATTTTTTATATAATATATTTTCCACATTTTTTAGGTTTTGATCTTATCATACATTATTATTTTTAAGGGAAATGATAAAAAATATTAAACAGAAAGAGTGGGAGGGGGTACATGTCCAGTCACACATCTCCCCAGCACTACCCTCATTGAGGTGTGTACGTACAATACCGGTGTTACGTATTCATGTCATCATGGACTCCCTGCCAAGACATTAGCATGTGTCAACTTCCAACACATGGTTAGACGTTACTTAATTTAGCAGCACGGTGACCTTTCTTGTTCATTAATGTACGCTCTTCGTGTAGCAATTACACATGGTAGTTGACACACGTGCCGTGGAAGAGGTTGAGGGTCGCAGCGGTTGTCGGAGAAGAGTCCGGGACTTGCACCATGTCTCTTTATCTATATCGAACACTAGGACATCCTGAATCCTGTGTTTTGTTAATAACCTGAATGTATATGTAAAGGTATAACACGAGCCCTGAGCCTGTGATTGAGTCTGTTGCTATGTTGACATTCAGATCCCAATAATGAGTTAATTGCAACAAGGATGTGGGTATATATACATACAGAACTGTCCCTTACTTGAAAGGCGGATCAAGGATTTGGAAATGGGTGCACACTGGCACAAGTAAACAAGTGAATATAAGCAATTAAAAGAAGAGACATAGAGATTGACTGAGTCTGAAGAAACAGGAGATGCACCTGCATACACGTGATGACTCGCTGGACCCCTAGACACAACCCCACAACCCTCAAGATCTCTGTACACCCCACACCCCTCTACACCCATGCACACACCCTACCCCAACCTTCTAGATATCTGTGCATACCCCACAACCCTGCAGATCCATATATCCCCGTATCTCTGTACACCCCCCCCTACACACACCCTACCCCAACCTTCTAGATCTCTGTGCATACCCTACAACCCTGCAGATCCATATCTCCCCCATCTCTGTACACACCCGACAAACACCTGGACCCTTGTACACACCCCACAACCCTGTAGATCTCTGCACATACCCCACAACCCTGTAGACCCTCTGTACACACCCCACAACCCTGTAGACCCTTGTACACACCCCACAACCCTCTAGAAATCTGTACACAGCCAACAACCACCTGGACCCTTGTACACACCCCACAACCCTGCAGATCCATATATCCCCCCCTCATCTCTGTACACACCCGACAAACACCTGGACCCTTGTACACAACCCCA